CGATTTTCAAACGTGAGAGATTTTCAGAAATTCAAGAAATGCTACATTTTCCACTTTATAAATCATCATTTCCATATAATTTGCACGAGCTTTGCAATCCATCATAATTGATTTCCGTCTTGTATCTTCCCGCTTTGCAAAATTAGTGCTAAATGCATATTCCAGTCAATAACAATTTATTTTTAACAGCAAGATTATAGATCTGGATTACCTACATATTAATCACACAGTTGATTCATTCGGGGGGAAGAACCGTAAAATCTCCGTGACGAATGGGAAAAAAGAGCTGTAGCTAAATGCGCTTGTAAAAAGTGTTGTTCTCATTGCTTCAATTTTTTGCAGAACTGAAAGAAGCACTGGTCATGCTTGAGCCGTTCGTTTGGAAAATAGAATTAAAAAACAGTATACAGATACCCAGGATGAACGCCTTGATTGAAGCGACGCACATGTAAGTGAAACGTAATTCTAGGTCTAGCTAATCGTGCATTATAATTAAGTATCGAATCTGTTATCTGTTATCTGTTAACCTATTATTTTGGAAAGATCCTGTTTATGCGTTTCCTATTGATTCAGAACCAGATGTATCGGATCAGCCGCACTCACTCTGGCGTACATAGCGCGGGGTGTAGCGGATTGCTTCTATTTAGATATTCAACTTAGACCCTGGGATGTGGCGGCAGGAACGCTGATTTTACGCGAAGCGGGTGGAACTATTATAGATACGAAGGGTACGGTAACACGAACGACAGATTAATAACCAAATATCACTATAGCTAAATTTTACGACTTTCCTTCCACCGATCACGAACATATGAAAACTTTCTGAAAAATTTATCTCTGAAATACTCATACTTAATTTACTACAAAAATTACAACTAAATAATATTAACAAAATTGGCTCAAACTATAAAATAATTATAAATAAATATACCATACATATGTATTAAAATACTTTCATTATGATGAACAAGAGAACACACTTCAAATAATCACTGTATATAATCAGAAATTTCAGATTGAATTATCAGAATCAGAAGCAGAATAAAAATCAGAATCAAAACAGCGATTTCTTATTGCAGAATAATATATAATTTTAAACAAAAGGAAAATAAGCGCAAAAATCGATGCTGTCCAGTTATTAAAAGATTAATTATGACCATCTTTACAGGTGGTGTTTACAATATTATGAAGCCGAATACTATCGCAGCGTCAAACGAAACTCTAGCACGAAAAATATCTAAATTAGTCATCGACACTGATTTAAAAACGCAAAGGAAAAGACTCCAGAGAACCTCAGACGCAAAGCAATGACTCATGCTAATTGATTTAAGAGCTGAGTGTAAAACAGCAGGAGGTGTGTCCCAGCAACTTGTATTTATCACGTAATACGAGCAAATTACCTATAAAAATCAGTTTAGAAAAGTTTCCGTTAAAAAGTCCCATTGACGCATTTACAGTCGTTATACGAAGTCAATCCCATTGCGTTAACCAGTGTGCCATCACAATGTGAAATGAAAAGCTTCCTTTCGATCGATTTCCCCGTCGTTGTTTATAAATAAAACAAAATTATTGTAAAGCGCAATTTACTGTCAAAATCATTACGAACCTTTGGCATCCATCGTATTAACGCACTGCGAAGATATATTGATAATATAACAATATAAATTTTACAACAATAAAATTCGTCCCTAGAACCGTATTTTACATCAAAACAACGTTCCGGCATATTATCGATATAATTTTTCGTTAAGGATTACGCAGCTTAAGATTAAAATTTTACACCGTACAAATTTTACAAATTTATGGTATTTGGTGAGTGTAATAAATGTCGGTATCATCAGTACTTACAACGTACTGATATAATATAAAATGTGATATTAAATTTATAAAATGACTGCTTTAATTTGTTTTGTCACACAATGTCATAACGGGTGTGTAAAACAAATTATTTATTCACAAACTAGAAAGAGAACGTAAATCATAGGCAGCACACATCATACATAAATGACTATGCGTGTTATACAAGATTAGTTATTTTCTTTTGCGAAAAAATTTATAACAGACATAACATATCTACAGGTATAATTTGCGCTTTATTACTACCAAAATTTACATTTAATTTATTTTTCATTTTAGTAAAATTTTTTTTCAATAGTTTTCTACTTTCAATAGTTTTATACTTGATAAAATTTCTGACCGTTTAAGTAAATTACTAATAAATTTACATATCTTATTATGTAAATTTTGCGCGTTAATTGCCTCGATCTATCGCTGTCATCGCAACTGAGAAAATCACGCACGCACAATAACTACCTTACTATCTAAAATATCTCCTGGGCTGCGAAAGTTTATGTGTTATTAAAAACTTGTAATTTTTTA